CCACACACACACACGCCCATCCGACACGGCCCGCTCATCTCTCTCTCTCTCTCTCTCTGTGTGTGTGTGTGTGTGTGTGGTCGGTGTGTCAGTTCTCGTGTGGACGAGCAGCTGAATGTGTTGACCCGGCAGTACCTCAACGAGCGGGTGCGCTTCACGCTCCACTCGGCACACGTCCCTCTCTTCTTCAAACACTACGCCAATGACTTCGGACAAGACAAAAAACAGGCAAGCTGATCAGCTGAGCTGAGCCGGCACGCACTGGGTGGAGGTGTGTTACCCCGAAGCGTCAAAAGAACGAACGGCTGGTTTACTTACGGATTTATCAGGTGTTGAGGTGGATATTGGATCGCATGGACGTGGACTGCGAGAGCCGCGACTACCTCATCCAGAGGCAGGCATCGGCAGGACTCACCTGGTTCTACTCGTGACCTACTTACTTGCCGACCGCTCACGCACGGACGTACGGACACACACCCATCCACCGTGGGTGCGGGGTGACTTGAGATTCATTCTGTGGTCGATAGATAAAGCATGCAGGCAGGGGAAAGGGAGGCACAGCCGTCATGTCAGGCTGTCAGCTGCATACCATCCATACACCCAGGCAGAGAGGCCAAGCAGGTCCTCTTGGCTTTCTTACCCTTTGTTGGTGCCCGGGGGGGGGAGGGTGTTTTGTGTGGGGCCAGTGTACACTTGCAAACGGTTTTTTTCGTGGGTGAATATATGTGTGTCCATTTTGCTGGAGGGGGTTCGGCACACACACAACACAGAGATGGGCGCCGACATACATACCTGGACGTCTAAATAGACAGACGAGGAATGAGAGAGAGTGTAGCGGCGCTCGTACTTGCCCGATGGATGGACGAGGTGCTTCTTATTGGTGGTTGGGTCGGGGGTGCTAGATTGATTGATCGATTGATTGGTTGGTGGCGTATCGCCCTTTTGCTGCTCAGCGACGGTGCGCCCAGGCTGTGTGTGTATATGATATCGATGCGGACGAGACTGTGGATGACTTGCTGAGGGAGGATGATCAAGGCGCCGCACTCTATCCACCTGGCCCTTTCCCACCAACAGACCAGAACAGTCAGTTTGACGCACGTCATATGTGAAATCACTCGTCCACGTGCAGGCAGGCAGGCAGGCAGCTCGCATGCACCGACGGCCCCACCAATGCGTCAACAGCACATGCACGCCATGCGCCACCCACGGCACGGCCGACATCTTGCAGGAGGTCGTTTGCCGTGAGCGGACCCAACACCCGCTTTGTGGTGCGTCGCCCCCGACCTCACGAACGGTCCTGCTTACACTACGCCAACACGCTACTACGCTACGCCACCACGCCCACACACCTCAACACGTAGCACGAACGTAGCATGAACCAGCCGAAAAGGTCCGGCTGGGCCACAAGCCCAGGACAGTCAGACGGGTGCCCACTCGTCCATCCACAATAAGTACACACGTGCACGTCTGTGTGGCGCAGGGTGTGCTGACGTGGCTGATGTTGGCCTATCGCGTCAGGAACTGGATCTTGTTGGTCGTGTCTATCGCCTGGATCACCAAGTCTGAAGGAAGGAGAGAGAGGCGAACACGTCTCTCCCTCTCGCTCGCGCTCGCTCTGTATGTGTGTGCACGAGCGTGTGGATTACTTACTCTTTGAGAAGCAACTTGTGGGGGCGGATGTGTTTGGTGTTGCGCTGAAGATGAACTCACAGGCGCCGAAGATGGACCCGATGGATGCGAACTCGTAGCCCAGGCACGTCTGGCCCTCGAAGTCGAAGCCCGCTGGGAAAATCCGGGGGTCTCCAGTGAGACATGCCTCATCACACTCGTCCTTGCTGCCCACTTTCAGGTCGTCAGTCGGGTCTGAGAGGGAGGGAGACAGAAGAACAGATGCCCCTGTCCGTCCGTCTGTCTATGTGTGTGTGTGTGCATTGGCTGAATCGTACCAATGGCTTCAATGAGGATGTTGCCGTCATCATCTCTGCACTCGCCCAAGCCCACCTCGATGAACTCGTCGTCCTCGGTGGCGAGGGCGGGGTCGTCGTCTGTTATGTTCCTCTTGAAGCAGGCTATCGCTGTCACGTCACTCTCCGTAAGAGACCCAATCGAAAACAGACACACATTCTCAAACTCTGAGTGAGTGGAGTGCCAATTGGCACACAACACAAACACCAAGCAAACGGCCGACGGGGACACACGCAGACAGACAGACAGACAGACAATGGACACACACAAACAGACACACAAATGGTGTGTGTGGTGGGCGGCAGTCCCCACCCACCCCAGGTACGTACCACCAGGATCGTCGCTGCCGGAGAACTGTACGCCGAGGCACCGGCTGTTGGATTCTTTCGCTGCGCAGTCCTCGAGGCACTCCTCCACGGTATCCACACTGGGGTTGGGGTTGCGGACGGCGCCCAGGGCATTGAACAGGCACGCACCGGGGAGGTTCTCCTGCTCCAGCTCAACGTAGAACAGGTCGTAGTTCAAGTTGCCGATGTCCGGATTGTTCACCGACGAACCCTGCAGCCCAGCCACCCAGTCAGCCAGATCAGCCAGATCAGCCCGCCCACACACAGCAAATGACGAAGATAGATAGGCGTGACTCGTTTGACGCGTGTGGGCCGGTCGCCTACAATAAGGGGTGGGCTGAAGATGAGGTCGGTGATGTCACCGATGCCCGGGAAGAGATCAAACCCTTCTGCGGACCCGGTGAACATCCCCAGCCCCACCAAGGGGACCAGCAGGAGCAGCGCTCGCCATTGAGGACGTGATGAACCACCCATTGTGCTCTGTAAAGGACGCACGCGCACTCACACGAAAGCGAAGCGGTGCCTTGACCGCTGCGGTGGCTGACAGGCTCTCCTGCCAACCGCTGAGACAAGCGAGATGGACACACACAGAATACATACACCACGGCCGCGCTTTCTATCTCGTCTGCGTACCTTCCGCCTGTGCGCTCAGCAAAATTCCCCACCTGTGCAGGGTCACAGTGTGGTTTGCGAGGGGTCTCACGAGCGCGAGCTTAGAAATCCTTGACTCTGTAAATTCGCCGTACGCACTGTACAGTGGTTGTTGTGTTTTGTACTTGTGGAAGAGGCACGTAGAAGGCGAGTGAGCGAGAGTAGCGGGATGAAGGGGCTGCTGGGTAGCCGAGTACTACTGCTGCCTCTGTTCGGCCTGCTCCTCCTCGGCTCGGCGGCCAATGGTCAGATTGCTCGCAAGATCTGCGGCGGCAGCTGCCCCGTCGCCAAGGCGTATGCGGTGGTTGACAACGCTGTCAATGCGGCTCTCGAGCCCATCAAGGAGGATTTCCCCAACGACCGCTTCTTTAACAAGACCGTCGAGCGGTTCACCAATGCCATCTTCAATCAGCTGAGGGCTGTCAACCAACACATCGGCTCGGCGGGCGAGTCACTGCCCAAGTTCGAGATACAAGGGCCGCGCATCAGCTTCGTCCCCACGGCCGTCACGCTGGGCGACCTGGCGTCCGAGACGATCGACCTCACCTTCCAGGCCCTTTTCCCGAACCTCCTCTTCGGTGACCCCTTCAATGTCTTCCCCAAGGTGCTCGACAGCGCCATCCTGCTCGAAGACGGCTTCATCACTATCAGCGGGTTCCTCAGCAACCTCACCAACAACGCCGTCGATGACACCTTCGATGTCGTCATCAACACGTTCGTCGACATCAACGACACTATCTTCAAGGGCAAGGAGGACACGGGGCTGGCCGACATTGATATTTACGAAGATATCGTCCAGGACATCGTCGACAAGACCGACATTGTTGATGACCTCGGCCTCGACAAGACCGACGACAACGAGGACGACGGTGCAGATGAGGAGGATGAGAACGCCACGAAGGCGCTCGACGCCATGTTTGACAAGCTGGCCGAGCAGATGGAGATTGAGAACCCCCGCGTGGCCGTCAGTGCCGACGGCAAGCAGGTCAAGCTCTCCTTCCCCAAGCGCAAGGCGGCCGCCGAGGGCGACAAGCTCACCAAGCCGCTCACCAAGCCGGCCATCCAGCGCCCCTCCGTCGACGAGCCGGGTCTGCTCAAGCTTCTGAAGCCCTACCAGGATGCCGTCAAGGAGGAGGAGGAGACGAGGCGAGAGCTGCAGCGGCGGTACCGCCGTGCCCCGCACAGAGGACCCGAGGAGGCTGCACATGCCGAGGGCTTCCTGCCGTTCGGCGACCCCGTCAAGGACACGGTGGCCAAGCTGGTCAAGAAGCCCATCACCGAGGCACCCACACAAGAGAAGGTGCCCAACCTCGTGGTGCCGACGATCGTGCCCGGCCAGGACGGCGTCTTCCCTCGGCTCGATGAGCTCGTGGATGCGGTGCCCTCCACCACACTGGGTGACGCGCTGCGAGCCATCGGTGTGCCCATTACACAGAGATACGTCAACAGTACCGTGGGGCAAGTGCAGAATGCCATCGGCGACATCGTCAACTCCATCGAGGTCAGCCAGTCAGACGAGACACACACACCGAATGACACAGCTGTGGAATGAATGTGTATTATGTGTGTGTGTGTGTGTGTGGCTGTCTGTCTGTCTGTCTATAGGAGTTCGCCACTGCGTATCTCACGAAGGAGAACATTGATAGGTTGGAGCTGGAGCCGATTGTGAGTGCGGTTGAGCAGGCGACGGTCGCCCTATCGCCCCTCTACCAAGTCAACGAAACTGACCCCATCTGGTACGTGCGCATTAGTCAGCAGCTTGGCACAATCCATTCACACGTGGATCGTTGGACGCTGTGTGGTCTGTGCGGCTGCCTGCCAGGACGTTCGCCAAGTCTATCACAGAGAACGTTCGTCGAAACAAAGAAACACACGCCACCTGTTTGTTCATCTGTCCGTTGTGTATTGGACTTTGTTCCTTCTCTGCAGGTGTGGCAAACGTCGGAGCTCGTCGACCGGCCCGAAGCACAGCGCATTGTCGACGATGAGGTGCAGAACCGAATCGTCGATGCCATCGCGTAAGCCACCCATTCACCCACACAGGCAGACCCACATAGACAGACCCACACATGGTTGAGGAAATGGTCCGCTCGGCCTGTTCGCCTCCATGCATGTGTGTGTGTGTGTGGTGTAGGTGTGCGATCATTGGCAACGCCAACTCTGACAAGTGCCCTGTGGACTCGGCATTCCCCGTGCCCCCTGAGACAGTCGTGACGACGCCCGCGCCCGGCGGGGATCTCAACTCGTTCGGATTCCCACGTGAGTGTCATTTCTCTCTCCGCCCGCCTGTCCGTCCGTCCGTCAACACACATGGACACGCCGACCCACTCACTCTACTCACTGACTGCATGAATGTGTGTGCTGTGTGCAGAGTGCATCGAGGTGACAGGATACCAGCCGTTGTGCGAGCCGGTCAACGACAGGGGCGGGTTGGGGTGCATTTCGGGTCGGTCGCTGGAGCCGCAGAATTTCGATGGCGTCTACACATTTGTATTCCTGGACGAGGCCGGGTTTCCCGTCTATTCCAAGGGTCTTGCGACCACTAACGTGATCGTCAACTTCCCCTTCGATCAGTCCATCTCGCAGTTGTTGCTCTCGCGCACTCCCGGCGAGGTGGGCTCCAACAGCGTCCTGCCCGAGGTCGGCACTTTCGGATCCATCACAGCCAACGTAGATGACTTCTCGGTAAACATCAATAAACACACCAAACACGCACCACACTCATCCGATGGACGGATGGATGGGCTGCATGTCATCGGTATGTATGTCTTTCTCTCTCTCTCTGCCTGTGTGTGTGTGTGTGTGCGTGCATGCAGAACATAGGTATCGGTCAGCGCCCTCCATTCGCGACGACGACAGCGGGTGAGGGCGAGAGCATCGCCCCCATCGGGTGCGACCTCAACGACCCCCAGGCAGGCGAAGGCTTCCCCCAGTGCCTCACCGGCGGCACATGGGTCCTCGCCAGGGCGGGATCAGGCACATGCACCGGCAACCTCGTCCAGGGAGGTGCCTCATGCTTCTTCGGCCTACCATCGCCACAAGTCGACCAAATCACCATCACACCCGTCCCGTGTTCTAACAACGATGGCCCTCTTGCACCAGGGTTCCCAATTGACTAGATCAGCGGGCGGGCTGGGGCGGCGTGGCCTGTGTAGTAGATGTGCATACATATTGAATCAGTGTGCGTATGTCTGGGGTGGGCTGTGGTGCGGTTGGCTGGCCGGCAGTACACACAACTTATCATTATGATTATGATTATCGACTTGTCGCCAGCTTGCCGCTCGCTCATGTGGATGCATGCCGTCAGATCCAAAGTTGGTCGGTAGATAGAGCGCTGCTGGCGCGCACGCATGAGGGAGCGGCTGGGCAGGCAGGCAGGCAGGTAGGCAGGCCGGTTGGCTAGGCAGATAGGGCTCGGGGGGGCAGCGTGCCTCGTTCTTTCTTCCGTTCCTTTTTGGATTGGATCACTCACTGACTGACTGTCTCGCTCGCTCATCGACTGAATGACCTACCGATATCTATTATGCTGCTGCGTGTTGTGTGTGTGTATGCGTGTTCGCATCCCCCTCTCTCTCCTTGTATGTCTGTACGTGTGTACTCGTGGTGACTATTTTGCCGTCAATCCCTCCTCCCTCCCCTCTCCCCTCCCCTCCCTTCTCGTAGCATATGCCTCTCCCTCTCTCTCTCTCTCCCCCTCTCCCTCTCCCCCTTGTCGTTGCGTGCAGTCAGTCGTCGGCAGGTTCGTTTGGACTTAACCATCCCATCCGTCTGTCAGTCAGTCTGTCAGTCAGTCAGTCCGCCTGTGTGCGTACGTCTAGTGCTCTCGTGGGTGGTGTTATCGTATTGTGGATTGTGGTGGTGGTTGTCGGACGGTGGATGGCAGATCGACAGACGGACGGACAGACGGACGGACACAGATAGATGGGATGAGTCGCCAGTCCCCACCTGCTGCATGGCATGAGCTTACTGACTGACCTACCGGGTGACGTGCCTGCCATTGCATGCTCTACACACACACGTAACCTCAGACAAGACAAGACGGGAGGGAGGGTGCTGACGAGACTAGGTAGGTAGGTAGACGGTAAGTAGCTGGCTGCTGGGTGTGGTGTCTGTCTGCCAGACTCTGTGCCTTGAGTGGACACTGCACCGCATCGTGGCTGGGTGGAGGGATGGATGGATGTAATGCTCCCTTGCCTCTCATTCACTCGTTCATTTCATGGGCAGCAGGCGTAGCACCAAAATCCGACCACATCACACCATCCACACGCACGCCGAAATAAATCCATAAGCAGACGTAAACACGACATGCAGCGACCGACCGACCGACCGACCAACTGACCAAACCCAGGACGGTGCCAAACACCCAACGCCAACAGACGCATTGCCCACAGTCTGTCTCTCTAAGCGAATGAGCCACATGCGCAAGGAAATATCTTGACTCTGGCGGGGAACCAGCAGACAGACGACCGTTCAGATACGGCTCCATTGCACCCCTTGGTCCCCAGCCTGGCCAGCGCCCATGGCCCTGCCGATGAGAGGCATGCAGGGAAGGTCCTCGGGTCCAGGCTGCTGCATGCCCCAGACTGATAGGTAAAGGCAAAGGGGCTCTTTTCCAACTTGCGCCGCGGCGCCTGCAGGCAAGACATGACACAAGTGAGTGCATGGAAATGAGACAGACCAGCTGGTGCAATGCGTCTCTTGTCGTGTCTCGCTCACCTCTGAATCCGCTTGGAGGCAGGCAAAAGCTGCGTAGGCGCCGCTCGTGCCGTGGGGCTTGTTGAGGAACACCTTGTCGGCCCCTGGGATGTTGTGGACAGTCTTTGAATAGACGGGCCAGCCGGAGACGTCCGTCGTGTCATATCGATACAGGCCGTCAAGCTCCTGCGCCATAATGTTCCTGCCCGCAGCACAGCCACGCCCCCCCAGGAGGTTGTGGGGGCTGCAGGAAGCCGCAAAGCCGCTCACGTACACACACTCTGCAAAAAAGAAGAGCCGGTGAGACACGCGGCCATGTACGTGTGTCCGCCTGCAAGACCTGGAAAGCCCTTCGGGGTGACCCCTGGCGGCTGACAGGAATGAGCTGCCCGAGCTGTGAGCCTACGCCGGTCCTCGTCATCATCGTCGTCATCATCATCCTCGTCTTTAGGTGGGAACTCCACAGGGCAGTTGGGCGAGTTGTTGTTGATCAATTCGCAGACGATTGCGTCGGAGTATGCGTCTCGATACTCCTGGTACTTCTCCTGCTCGCTCTCGGGTGGATCGATGATGTCCAGCTTGGACCACAGAATCGCCTCCGTCAGGCCCCGCACATACTGCCATACGGGGTCGTCCTCTTCGATGGAGATGAAGGGCGAAATGTTGTCCAGGAGGAAGTTCTCCACGCTGCTCACCAGCGCGTCACACTCCAGGAAATCAATCATCTCGGGAGTTAGCCAATAGGTCAGCAGCTCCTGTGCGTGGGGTGGGGTGGGCGCACAGGACCAGTGGAGCCATAACTGTTGTCATGTCTCTCTGACAAATCATACCTCAGCGTAGTTGACAATGTCGCCGATTTTCCTTTGGGTTTGCCCAATTTTGGACGACTTGTACTTTTCCCGAAGGGGAAGGCCAATTTCTTGCCCTAATTCGGTGAGGCTTTTGGTCGGGATTGAGTCCAAGAGTTCATCCGTGTTGGGCAGCGGCCCCTCCTGGTCCTCAACGAACTCTGGCACCTCAGCATCTTCACCCCCTGCATGCGAAAGAAATCACGATTCCGAGATTCTTCTCGTCTCTTGGTGTGTCTCTCTTGCTGTGCCTGCGTGCATCTGGTCGTACGTGCATTTGCGGCGACGGCCCTGGCAATTTCCTTAGCGAGGTCGAACTTTTCTTGGAGTTCTTCTTTGTCGATCTCAGGATCCGGGACGACCTCAATCTTATCCTTGTCCTCTGGTCCCAATTCCTCATAGGGGGTGAAGAGCCCCATCTCGTACAAGAACTGGGGCACCTTGACTGTCTTCTCCTTCTTGGGCCCCTGGGTCGGCTTGCTGAGGTCGGGCGGCTCGGGCTTGTCCTCAGGTATGGTTGGGATGGGCGGCTTGGTGACCTTGTACTGCTCCCAGTACTCGGGGTCCTTGATCGCGACGTAGCCGTCCTCGTCTTTCTTCCATGAGTCGGGGATCTTCATGTCGATGCTCTTCTCGATATCATCCTTGGTCAGCTTGTCAGGCAGCGGGGCCTTGGTGGGGAAGGGGAACACGTCGGGGTTGAAGCGGGGGATGTCGTCGCCCGTCAGGTCACCCTCTTCGAAATCACCCCACTTGCCGACCAGCTTCCGGGACTTCTTGTCCTCCTGAGCCATGAAACCCCCCTCGCCGCCGGCCCATATCGGCAAGAGCGCCAGCGTTGAGAGGAGGAGGGCGTGTGGATGGATGCGGGCCATGGCCGATGAATGAAGGGGAGTGTGATCAATGCTCCTTCGCCTTTCGAAACGATGCCTCTGCGGGAGATAAAGGGGACTGCCAGTGACTCGGGGTTCTGGTGGGGGCAAGCCACCCCCCAGTCTCGAACTTGAACGCGGAGAGAGAGGCAGAGAGGCTCAACCAACTTGAAGCTGGACAAACGAATGGCATCGAAGCGTCAGAAGAGGCAGGAAGAAGAGAAGGGTGATGGCGGTGGAGCTGAGGTACAGCTGATGTGACATTCAACACTCGTGTCTTGATGATTGTCTGTCATTGATTTGGTTTGGCATCCTCCTCCTTTCCCTCTGCAGGACGAGCTTGCCAGCGACCCGCTCTATAGAGCTGCCACGCAGATCCCTATCGTAAGAAATCAACACATCCACGTGCAGGATGAATGAATCAGATCAGCGCGTTGCTTCTTCCTCTTGCTGTCCGACATGCAGGCCTCATTTGACGCGCCCCGCACCGAAGACGGCTGGTATCACCGACATGGACTCATTTCGCCCAAGGAGGTAACGATAAGGCACACACAAGCGGCACAAGTGCCGCCCTCCTCCTGCATGAGGGTGTGATGTCTGCTTTGCCAGGAGCTATTGGAGAAGTCTGCCCTGCGCATCCAGGCAATTTTCAGGGGTCGCAAGGCGTATAGGGCCACAGCGGGGCTGAGAAGGCAGCGGGCAGAGACAGTGAGGGTGGCAGCTGAGCTCAATCAGCGCAATGAGTCTGCGGCAAAGATACAGAAGTGGATGCGGGGGGCGGTGGTCCGGATGCAAATTGAGCGGGCCAACGATGTGTGCACGCATCGACCGACATGCATACATGCATTCTGAAAACGACGGACCTCAGCAAGTGAAAGTCCTCTCTTTGTTTGTCTGTCTGTGTGTTTATGCGTTGGCCCTCAGGAGCCGATAATCTTCCCTGACCCGCAACCCGACACTGAAGACGTGGACCCCCATCAGTCACTTCACAAGGTAGCAAGACAAAGCCCCCGCCGCGCCGCGTCGCGCCTCCCCTGCTCTCATCCGTTCATTGTTCTCTCTGCCTGCCTCCCTCCGTGTCTCGTTCGTTCAGGAGGGTCGGGGCGCCGAGACGCCCCTGCGTCAATCAGTGGACAGCCTGACTGTCGAGAAGACTCGTCCTCGGCAGAGGACCCACTCCCCATCCGTGGCCATGGCGCCTGCGGATGACGGCAGGGGCGTCTCGGGCGGTGGCGACCTCACAGAGGTGAGCGTGGTCAAGGAAGAGGGCGCGATGGAGGAGACCGACATACTGGGATTCGGACTGCCTAAGAAGAGGCTGCAATTCGGCGGGGGGGCCAAGTTCGTGGGAGAGGTGATTACGGACACGAGACAGCAATGCACGGAAGGCGCCCGTACACGATGTGTGTGTGGTGTGTGTGCCGGCTGGCCTGAGTGAGCAGGTGGTAGCGGTGACAAAGCGTCAGGCGCACGGCAAGGGCAAGATTCTCTACCCCGACGGCTCCATCTACTCGGGCGAGTTCGTCAACAACAAACGGCACGGACGCGGATTCCTCTTCGGGGCAGACGGCACCAGGTGCACCACACACACACAGACGTACACAGGAGTGCATCGGTTGGTGGATGTGTGGGCAGGTATGTGGGTGACTGGTATGAGGACGAGAAGCACGGCGAGGGCAAGGAGGTGCGTGTGGATGGGTCGGTCTACATCGGCCAGTTCAGATCGGGCCTCCGCCACGGCAAGGGCGCACTCACGTGGAAGGACGGCAACGTCTACCAGGGCGACTTCAAGGACGGCAGTGCCGAGGGATTCGGCAGATTCGTGTTCAAAGACGGCAAGATCTACGAGGGACAGGCGAGTGGAGTGTCTCTCACACACACATACACACATATACGCACACACACCGCCCACTCTGTGTGCAGCATTTGAACGGCGAGATGCATGGTTTGGGTGTGATGAAGTGGCCTGACGGCACCGAGTACCTGGGCATCTTCCAGAGCAACCGTCGGACGGGCAAGGGCCGCATGACGTGGCCCGACGGGTCGCTGTACGAGGGCGGGTGGAAGGACGGCCGCCAGCACGGCCAGGGGCTCTTCAAGTCCACCAAGGACGGATCCGTCAAACACGGAATGTTCATCAACGGGAGGGTCAGTCAAGTCACCCAACACCCATCACACACACACACACACATAAAGGGGTAGACGCATGACTGGTCTCTGTGTGGTGTTATGCAGTGTGTGCGGGTGTTGCCGGCGTCTGTTACCAACCCGGCGCAGAGGGGCAAGAGGTGGGCGCGAGGGGACGCCAGCAAGCGGCTGGCCAAGTCCACCTCACGGCTCAGCGACGGCCAGGGAGACCTGACGGGCAACAAGGAGTGAGCGAGTCGGTGACTTGACTGCGTGTAGGCGAGACACGGAACAGAGAGAAGGATTCTCAAGCCCGATGAGACACCATTGACAATCACGGTGTGTTGTTGACTGTGTCGATGGATGGAATGGATGGGGTTTTGGTAGCTGATTCGAAATGTCCTCCGTGGAGGCAAAAAATGATTCATTCGACATGTCATGTACACCACACCATCTCCCCCACACACAAGTGGGTCGAGTCCATTCATCGCCCGCCCGCCCGCCCACGCAATTAGTTTGTTGCTTCGTTCGCTCACGCTGCAAGCGACATACACACAACACAACGCAGCCAGTATACCATAGCAATACGGCAATAACATGGGGATATTATATATACAGACAGACCCATACACACACGCCCACACACGCATACGCACACGCATGCACACACCAGACGCGCGCACGCACGCAGAGCCACGCACCCGCCCAGTCAGTTGGTGTGTGTTGTGAGGGTGTGGTGTGTGGGTTGGCCGTCGATCGGTTCGCTGCAAAAAGAGGGTCCGTCGCACGGACGAGTGAGATGGTTCATACGATACGACGTATGAGTGAGTCTGTGTATGTATTGTGTGCCGCCGGTCCCGCTGCGATCATGGACCGACAGACAGGGCGCGAAATGACCACTAACTAACCACCCCGCACCCCGACAGACAACTACCTACCCATCAGCAGCAATAGTCAGCCGGGAGGAGCCACACCACATACCGGTGCCCCCGCCCCGCCGCCTCCTCACCCCCAGTCACACGCACGAGCACCAATCAAAAAGACGGACAGACTGCACACTCACGAGACAGCAAAAATCATGGGTGGGTACGCTGGCGGACAGACAGACATCGAGTTGCGATATACACTCTCTCAGGTCACATCACACCTCCTGCGCCATGTGGGGCAGCGTGTCCTGTGCCTCGGTGGCCATGATGGCCTCGTGAAGCGTCGCTGTGGTCCCCGCCGGACACACGGGGGTGGCGATCTCGCCGGCAGGGGGCGAGCAGGGCCCAGGGTCGGCGGGCTGGGCGGCCTTGGTGTGCGATGTCTCGATGTCTGCCGGGTAGAGGAAGAGCATCATCCACACGGACGCCTTAAAGAAGTCACGAAGCTTCATGAACCTGCACACAGACAGACAGACAGACAGACAGAGAGGGGACGGGGGTTCATGATGTGGGCAGGTGTCATGGTCCCACTGACTGTCTCACTTGGATGTCTTGGATGCGGTCATGACGTGGGGGTCGATGAGGCGGATGCCCTGATTGATTGACACACACACACACATAAGATCCGTTCGTCGCTCTAAGGTGAGTTGCGTATGGGTGTGTTGTGGCGTGTTGGCGTGCGTCCGTACCTCTTCCTCGACCCCGGCGATGCAGTATCCTGACGTGCCATTGTCGGCAATCACATACGTACCACTGCAAGCAAACCACAAGACGACATGGTAATAACAATGACGTGTTTTACATGCAGAAGAAGAAGCTGCGTCGAGTGCGAGTTGAGTGAGGGTGTGAGTGCGAATGGCCGTCCGTCCGTTGCGTACGGGTGTTGGTTGAAGTAGTCTGTGAGCATGGCGATGACATCCTTGGGCCCTGTCAGGTGACACGAGTAGTCCGACGGGACGGACCGCAACATACCATCAGGCCTGCATCACCCACACACATACACAACACAACACAACACAACACACCCACATCCTCGTCCCTCTCTCCCTCCCTCCTCCTCTGCCGTACATACCTGGGGATCTGCGAGTAGAGGACCAGTCTGAACTCCTTGCCCTCCTTCCACCCATACGTGTCCGTCAGATACTTGCCGCACGTGGCGGGCTCGATCCACAGCTCCTTCCACCCGCCCTCAGGCGCACACAGCCGCACCCTCCTCGACCGACCGGCGCCAGCCCCCGCCCCCGCCCGCCTCCTCTCCCTGTCCCTCGAGTCACCGTCGACAGATGCCGCCGGCGAGCTGCCTGGTGACCGGGTGGATGGGGTGGACGGGCCGTCGTTGTCGCTCGACACGCCAGAGGCTACACGGCGGATAATGCGGTCGCTTTCTGTTGAAGAGGAAGAGGAGTCGCTGTCCTCCTCGTGCTGGCCGCTCGCATCACCACCACACCCACCGTCGCGATCGCCATCAGAGGCCTCCTTGTCTGGCTCCTGCCCGTGCTCCCGCCGTCTGTGTGCCGTAGTGTGTCTTGGCCTGAGCGCGTCATAGATGTGGAGGACGCCCATGTGTTGCATCAGCTGGCGCATGTGCGGCACCGCCACGACGACACGGGGCGTGCTGTGGTTGAGGGAGAGGAGGGCGTTCTGCAGGCTGCGATAGACACACCCCCAGTGCTCGTCGTTGATGTCGTCTTGCTCGCAGCAATAGTGGTACACTGCCGACGACGAAGGGTCGTCGAGCGTGATGCGCTCCAAGGCACGCGACAGCCCGTCGATGAGCAGTTGCATGGCATCAGCTTGATCGGACTCCGCCTGTCCCGCTGCCTTATCCATCACCGAGCGAAGCGTGTGTGGTGATAGTTCACATCGTGGCTGCGCCAATTAGCAGAGCTGCTCTTCAAGTTCCGAATCCTTTTCCGAGCTCGCACCGTCGTGCGTCCCCTAACTCACCTTTTTCGAGATCTGCCGCGCTGAGGGGGAGAGAAGCGAGAGGAGGCACGACAAGCCCTCTCCGTGTCGTGCATATCCACATCGCAAAACTCGGCGCGGAGTTCATCGCCACCAAAAAATCACGGCATGATGAGACCATCGCGGCTCGTTACGGTGCTTCTCTGCTGCCTGATGGCATGGATGCCCTCCGCCACCCCCCGTGAGGTCGTCGAAGACGCTGACATCTGGCAGGTCAGTCATTTGCACTCAAGGCAGACACCAACGCAGTCACTTACTCTCATTGTGCGTCTGCATTCTGTGCTCTGTCCTGTCGTCTTCTTTGTGCAGCGCTGTCATCTCCGCCGCGCCAACCGATTGAGTGATGACGGCCGAGATGATGTGACAGATCAAGGAGACGGAGATCAGCGGCGAGAGCTGCAGGGGCTGACGCCTGAGGAAATAGCGCAGCTGGAGGCCATCTTCGGAGGCAGCGCCGGCTCCGACAATGCCGGTTCCGACTCGGTATCCAGCAACTCAACCTCAAGCTACTCGACCGGCTTCAATAGATGGAGCTCTCTGGGCGACAGCGAAAGCAGCAGCAGTTCGGGCAGCTCTGGGAGCCTCCCGGGGGGCAGCAGCGGAGGCGGAGCAGGATTGCCACGACCGTAAGCACGCACGTGTTCCTACTACCCAGTCAGTCATAGTGTGAATGTTGATCCCCTCAGGAACGGCGACTCGGAAAACGCCGACGACACGTTCAATCCAGATGGCATTGTCGACCCACCAGCACCAGACTCGACCTCTGGGGATGGACCCACAACCACCTCCACGGGTGCTGGCGGTGGAAATGGGGGTGGGTCGATCGGTGGAGGTGGAGGTGAGTCAGGTGTTGGAGGTGGGGGTGTCGGGGGTGGGGGTGGGGGTGT